CTGTAGTAGATGAAGCAGGGGCAATCTTACAGGCAAAACTGAGGCAGTTGTCTCCTACAACCTAGGATTTTCAGAATCTCAGCACTCATTTTGTTAGGTTCCAGAATTTCTAGCTTTATGTAAATGTACTGCTGTGTAAAACTGCATCAGAGGTGACGTTAGTGTTCACCAAAATTTCTTGTTTCTCAGTGAGGAGTGGATGAGTTTTCTAAATTCAAATTAATTAGACTATGCTGAAAATACTGAGAAGTTAGTGATGATGCTTGTCGTCAATCTTGTCAGTAGCGAGATCATTGAGGTATCCTCCCTGTTTAATCATTTGAAGGCATGTTGATCCGTTTAATGATCCTTTTCTTTCGGATTAAGTCTTATAACCAACAGCGAAGACAGGAATTTTTCCTGTGGGCTGTCAAGCAGATATATATAAATTATTTTTCAAGATTAATTATTAACTTATACATATAAAAAATTTCAAGTTAATAATAAAGTTTTAATTCAAATTTAAAGTATATAAAATTAAAAATTAAAAATAAATTATATTATCGAAATTGCACCTTTCTATATTTTACGGAATAAAATTCATTAATGATCTAATCCGAATCAATATCTTCAGCAAACTCTCGTTCAATATAAATCATCATAAAATATGCTAAAAATTTATTTTTTATTTTATGACAAAACGCAGTTTTAACATGTTTTATGTTGAAAATGCTCGCTTTACGGTGGCAATGAAAATAAATAAAGTCAAAATAAAATGAATCAACTTGTCAATCAAATGATATTACTGTGACTTAATTATTTTAATTAATCCTCGATATAATTCAAAAATGGTAGATATATTCTAAAAATTCTTATGATGAATCACACCAATCTAATAATGTTATTATTTGTTTATGAAGATATTCTTATCAATTTATTGAATAAAAGATAAATTATTTATATAAAAACTTAATAAAAAATTCAATATTTCAACTAGAGTTTTACCGAGTTATGCATTTTGATTGTTTGGTAAGAATTATTTTACCATTCTAAATAATATTTATGAGAATATTAATGACGGGTTTTTTTTATAAAAATATATTTAGAAAAAATTAATTTAGACCCATTAGAGCACTAAAACAACTTTTTTTAGAACTTATTAATTGCTGCATTTAATTACTGCATGTATATGTAAATTAAAATTTTGGATACTGATTTTTTTCTCTGCCTGCGCTACAGCCCATCTCAGCCATCTACACCCCTCCGCCTATGCTTATAACTATTGTCTTCACAGGTGGCTTTTCTATGAATTTATTATTATCAGAAATTCGACGTGTCTTTAACATCTTTTTTCTTCTCTCTGTTTTTTATGCTATATGTTAATAGCTATTGGATTACTTTTGTTTATTTTATAGCTATTGATTCTTTATGCAACATGCATGTTGACTTTTGAGAGCATAAATTAATTTGCTAGATAAAATTGAAGTTTAAGAGTGTGTATTTAAAATTATACTTGTAGTTGTTTTTTAAAATATTTTTTATTAAAAAATATATTAAAATAATTTTTTTATTTTTTTTAAATATTATTTTTAATACCAGCATATTAAAATTATTTAAAAATATTAAAAAAATATTAATTTAAAAAAATAAAAAAATACTTTTAAAACTTAAATGACCTGAGTAGTAGAAATTTTATCTACACTAGTTAAGTAATATGTAAGTTTTCAATTTAAACTATGTTTGTTTTCTAAAATTCATTTTTCGGGAGATTACTTTTTAAATTTTCATGTGTTTATTTGTCATTATAAAAGTTAGTCATACGAATTTTTTTAATTGAATTTTTTTTTTAAAATAGTTTTTTTACTATTTATAAACAATTACCGACAAAATTATATGCTGTATTTTTATGAGGAAACACCAATGAAATAAAGCGGTTAATAGTTTTTTTTCTTGCACCTTTTAGGTCATGCCTTTTTCTAATGGACCATATGCTAAAGCCCGCACACAATTGACTTCCTTTTTTTTTTTTTTTCCTCTTTCGGTCCCTTCTTATTTTTACCATATATTTTACACTTTGATCAATTCAAGTAGATGATCTAAAAAATAATTTTTATTTATTTATTGAACACCATTGGAATTCTTTTGTTATGAAATCATATCTTCTTCTTCTTCTTTTTTTTATTTGAAAAAAGTTATGTTGTTCTTTATTTTTTCAATCCATTATGTGTATCCTTAAAAAAAAAATTGGTTATTTGATACAAAAAGGAGTCATAAGCACATGATTCTATAATTAAATAAAGAATAATTTTAGAGATAAAAAGTTATTAAATTTAATAAGGTGCAGCATCATGGAATTGATAGGTTATTTTAAGTTCATTTAAGTTTGTTTTTTTTCTTTTTATTATTCAAATATTTTTCTTTTTATTTGTTTTTTTAGAATAAAGTTAATTGAGAATTAAGCATTCTAATTTTTTTATTTTTTTTTATGATTTATAGGGTTATCATAATCTCATAACCTTGATTATGAGTTTAGTTGGTCAAACTAGGTTGATTCGTGCTGATTCAATATATTGTTGTCTCAAATATATTGTCATCTTAGTATTTAAAAAATATCATTTAATATGTGTTATATTTTGAATTTTTGATTAGAAATCAATATATCATTATCTTAATATTATCAAATATATTGTCATCTTAGTATTTAAAAAATTTTCTTATTCAAATCACATGTTTTTGCTAATTTTCTTTGTTTCTTTAGACATAACAAGTAGATGATCATACAAGGTTAACTCCTTCCTTATTGTTCCATTTTAAACTCCGAATCAAATCGAGCAAGAGGATTTCAAAGGTTACTAATAGATTCCAGTTTGATTATACTTGTGAGGGTTACCTTTTAAGAATGTGTTTATATTGTGTAATTATTATGTTTGCGTGCATGAGATAAATTTTAAATTTTTTTAAGAGAATGTCTTGTTAATATTGCGGTTGAATTGTGTTTTCGAAAAGTTTTAGAGTTTTTTAGATTCAAAATAATTTTTTATATTTTTAAAATGTTTTAATATGTTTATATCAAAACTAAATTAAAAAAATGTTTTAATATATTTTTAAATAAAAAATATTTAAAATATATATATATATATATATATATATATATATTAGTGGGACACAGACATTTCACATTCCACCTATCTAGTAAATCTAGTGACGTAGGAGACCACCTGAACTTGTAGGCTAGACCGATGACAAATCAGTAAGTTGGCCTAATCAAAAATTGATGGACGCTCGCTTTTCGGTGCCCCAGCATGGGTTGGGTTGGAATATGCAGAGGTTTTTGAAACTTGTCGATGGATTATACTTAAAAAAAAATATATGTTTTTGTGTTTTTACTGTTACTAACTAATTTATTAACGCTAAGCTCTCGTTGGAGAATTCTAAATTAATTTCAAATCCCAAGAAAGAAGGCTTTAATATAAGTATATTTTTTAATATTATGAGATTTGTTAAATAAATAACTAAGAGATAATATTTGTGTTCAACATATAAATAAATAGAAACTTAAAGATTAAAATGAAAAGTGAATTTTTCTACCTCTAGAGTTAATGATGTTATAAATTTCTAGTAGTTTTAAAATTTATAAAATTTAAATTAATAATTTTTTAAAAATAAATATAAAATCTAATTAGTTAAATTACACCTCTTAAAATTAATTATTAATATGCTACCTTCTAATATAATTAGATCATTAAAATATATCACTTCTCGAATCAACATTATAGAGTAGTGAATTTAATGTAATTGAATTTACATCTGATTTTATACCTATTTATCAGCTTCGCAGTATAAAAGTAACTAATATTTTTTGCTAATTAATTTATTTTTATTTTAATAATTTGATTTAATTATCTCCAATAACTCATGAATAAATGAAAATTTCTTATCAACATCGAGACTCAATTAATACAATGATCCGGCATGATAAGTGAAGAAAGTAGAGATCATGTTATATTCATGGTTTATTTTCACATGTTATATTGATGCTCAAGATATCAAATTGATGTGTCATCATTATCATATTAATATTTAATTATCATCTAAATGATTATTTCTCTATATTTTTTTATATAAAAAACTCTGATTACCTTTAAAATAAAGAGATCGATCGAATGGTTTTATTGTTCTTTTCAATTTTTTACATAAATTAATCAATAACATAACTTGAAAACAAAGCCCCTTTAAAATGTTAAGGAAAAAAGGAAATTGAGGATTTAGTGTATGTCACAACCCATTAAATTCTTATTAACATGTAATTTTTTTTAATGGTGAATTTCCAATAAAAATAAGGAATCTAAGCACAACTGAGCCGTAACATTTGCAATTGTATTATTGTACGAAAATATATGTTTGATATTGAGTTACGTGATATTTTTATTTTTATTTTTTAAAAAATATATATTAATTTTTTTTATTTTTTTTTAAGTTTTAACATTAACATACAAAATTATTTAAAAATAAAGACTGCAAGAATACAATCTCATCCGGTGAAAGTTCAAAACACGATTAAAGATGCAAGCAATTTGCAATTCCTTAACTTGGGGGACCAGCAAGGAATTTCCAGCTTCAAATTTCAATAAAGGGGTCCAATTGGTAGCATGGGCCAACAACGCATGCGACCCTCCTCCTGCGTTTATGTATCGATAAAGCTGAACGACTTGAAAAATCATAGTTCAACCACTTAATTAATTAACCGATTAATAAAGTATTTGAAAAATCATAGATAAACTTAAGGTTGTTAAAATCACGACTTAACTCTTAAAATCTCATAATTTTAGGAGTTAATATATATATAACATATCAAATTAGATTAAAACTTGAAATAAGTTAAATTTAGTTAAAATCAATAAAATCAGATTAATTTTATAATTTTGACCGAGTGAGTTTGATCGATTTCGAGTTTTAACCCGATTTTATTGAATCATTAATACTGAATATCTAAATCATTTAAAAAAACCTAACGTCAACAAATACGTGGTCAGAAGTTGGAATCAAAATTTCAACAGCACGGGTTTGTCTCATCCAGATTCCTTTAATTTGAAAACGACATCTACTGGCGGTCGTTTCGAAGAATTTTCGCGCATTCCTCCCTTACTTACCTCTCTTTCTCTCCCCGACTGTCTTGCTGTCTGTTCAAACTTTTCTTCCTGTAACTTCAGGTAGGTTCTCTCTCTTTTCTAAATTCTCAAATTTTGAACCTAGATTTTGTGTTTTTAATCACTATTATCTTACTGATACTTAAAGACTACTGTTGTAATCAGGTATCTTTTGATTTTTTTTTTGTTCAATTTGATTGTAATTTGCCTTTAATTTTACAATTCTCGCAATTAGAGTGTAAAATTACAATTTGATATAAAAAATTTGATTTCTTAGTAATAATGCGAACAATTATTAATTAGTTTGTGAAGAAATAAGGCTATGCCTATGTGGTATTGGTAGGCTGGAAGATTTTTATACTTTATTGTAATCATGCATTCTCAAAAAATAAAAATAAAAAAGAATATTAGGATTTGATTCTGTGATGTTTTTTCGGGTACGCTGCAGGGAGTTGGTTGGACTAAGCAGTGAAAGAGGCGGGGAGTGAAATTTTAGCTGCTATTAGCTATATATATATATGTATATATATTTGTGTGTTAGAGATGGGGTGGGGAACATTTACAGGAGACGTGCGAAAGTATTTACATTGGCCATGATAATTTACATCGATTATAAGGTACGGATCAACCGTATTGAAAATCTGATTACGAGTTATTTATTTTGAGTGATGTTTATTGCTTATGCTGATTGTGGTGGTTGTCTTTTTTTATACTGAAGGCTTTACAGAAAAGAGAGAAATTCATGAAGAAACCGAAAAGTGATGCATTGTGGAAGAAGGCCCATGAGCGGAATGCTAAGCGTCTTTTTAATTTGATGGTAGAGTTGGAAGGTTTGTGGGTGAAACTTTGACAGTATTTGTCCTCACGTGCTGATGTGCTTCCTTCTGCTTTCATTTCAATTCTCAAGCAGTTGCAGGACTCTCTCCCTCCTCGTCCGTTTCAAGAGGTTTTGTTTTAGTCTTTTTCTAATAGATTTGGAAGTCTTCATGTGATTCAATGTGACTTTGTTGACTTGATGTTTCTGGTTAGTTTTTATCTCATAATGCTAGCGTTTATTTTCAGGCCATGTTTCTCATTGGCTGGTTATGTTAAAATTTTTGTTTGCACAGGTTCGCCACACTATAGAGAAAGAACTAGGGAAATCCACGAAGGAGCTTTTCTTGGATTTTGACGAAAATCCTCTGGCGACAGCATCAGTAAGATCCTTAGACTATATGTCTGTGCTAGGAAGTTAGTGCGGATGCTCATTTAGGATTGAAATTTTGATTTTCTTGTTCTCACAAGGTGTGTACATGTTGGAATAATCTTGTTGTTCTCATGTTATATTCTATGCAGATTGCACAAGTCCATCATGCGACATTAATTGATGGGCAGAAGGTGGTTGTTAAAGTTCAACATGAAGACATCAAAAAATCATATGGGAGGTGGAAATTCTTTGGAGTTTGGCTTTTGAGATGCTTCATCGGAAAGCAAATGTTTCAGTCCTTATGGTTATTTTGCATGCCTCTTTTTTTTGCAGGATTTAAAGGATGCAGAATCCATTGTTGACTGGATAGCATGGGCAGAACCGCAGTATAACTTCAGCCCTATGATCGATGAATGGTGCAAAGAAGCTCCAAAAGAACTCGACTTCAATCACGAAGCAGGTAAACTTTGTCTTTTGCAATATTTCTGTTGATGAAATTCTCTCTATGACATCACAAAATTGCTATTTTATGTTCTTTTACAACCAATAGATAATAAATGTGAGTTCTGGATGGGTCTGGATGAGGGTATTGAGATTTGAGATTCATATCAGGAGCTTGAAATAATGATAATGCAATCCAATCATTGGGACAGTTAAATCTGATCATGTTTAGAATCCATACCAAGTGCAGCATCTTAATTTTTTATTGAATCAATGAAGTGAATGGGATGATAGTTGTGTGGTGTCAGCAGTGAGGATAATTGATGGTGGCAGTTGTGGTGATCATATTTGGATTTTAGTGGTTGTATATATAGTCTTTGAATGTGGAGGCAACAGCTTGGCTTGATGGATATGGTGCAATGAGGGTGGCGGCAGCAGCAATGATGGTGGCAATGTGAGGGTAACTTTAATGACAGTGGTCAAGGCAGTGTGGTACTCTTTTGGTAGCAGTGCAATGGCAGTGGCATGGTTGTAGCGGTGATTTGGTGGCAACTCATGTGAAGACTTTGGCATGGTGCTGTTAGTGCTAATGGAAGCATTAGCATTGGCGCTATGTTGCAGTGGTGAGCTTGGATATTGTAGAGATGAAAGTGATGGTTGGCAACTGTGTATTCAGCCATTTTCTAGCATGTTCATGAAAGTGAAACTCCAACTCACTATACTGAATTCAATGCAGGACATTACCAATCTAGTTATTAACACTGTGCAGAGACAATGCAAGGAATTTTAAATTCTTTAATCTCTTCCTCCATTTATATTCTCTTACTGTTTTTCTTATCAAGTACGTCATTGTGTTTCTCTACTGTTCAGTGTACCTTTCTCTCTTACTGATGCTGGTCTATTGTATTTGTAGAGAATACCAGAACCGTGTCTCAAAATCTTGGCTGCACAAGCAAATATGATAGCAACAAGCCCATCAATCAAGTGGATGTTTTGATTCCAGAGGTTATTCAGGTATCATTTTGCTCTCATGTTTTGATATAACAAAGTTGCTTGCTTGAGTGCAGGTGCAATATGATGAAATCCTAAAAATATATCTTGTCGTAGGAATTTTATTAACATTTCTCACTGTCTGGAACAAATATTAAAGGACTCATTGCAGGCATCTTCATTGACATTTCTGAGCCCTGACAGTTAACTACCATTCTTACAAAAAGAATCATGTGGGTGAAAAATGAACATTTTTATGTCGTTCTGAAGCCTGGTCAGAGTGGAGAGGAGGAAAATGAATTATGTAGTTATGACACCATCGTGAATGTCTATACCATATACCCAAGTAAAACACATGCATGTTGATGACACCATCGTTGATGTTTATATAACACCTGCAATATGCTTTCAGGGAGCTATTTCAATGAATGAAATTTGATTACGGGTCTGAAATCGAAAATCAAAACATATGTTCTTTCTCCCATTTCTCTTATGCACGTTGCTCTACCCTTTCTTCTATCCTATTCTCCCTAGTTGCACCCTAAATCAGAATCAGTTTACTCTGTTGAATGCTTTTATATTGGTTGTGGTGCAGGTAATTTTCTGGTGAGCAAAGAACCTCCACATCGTCCAATTTTGCTTGACTTTGGGCTGACAAAGAGAATATCAAGCTCTATGAAACAATCACTAGCTAAAATGTTTCTTGCTACCGCTGAGGTTTGTGAAAATCTTTCATAATCTTTCAATTGAGCACAATATTTTTGGTTTTGTCATCACTCATATCTGTTTATATTGTTTTCTATTTTTGTTTATTTTTTCATTATAAAATAAATACTATGCTTTCTCTTGCATGGGGACCATGTTGCTCTTTTGTCTTCCTTTTCTGAAATGGGACTTAAGCTGCGCCTGGACTTTCCTGAGCAAGCTATGGATTTTATCAGTGTCTTCTTCCGCACATCAACATCTGCAAGTGAAGCTGCTGTAAGTATGCACTGCCTGCTTTTAGAGTTCTATTTTGATACCAGGGATTCCAATCTTTTACTGTGTTTCTGTAAAGGAATATGCCAAATCTTTGGGAGAGCAAAGAGCAAGAAACATGAAGGTGCTACAGGAAAAGATGAATCTCAGCCAAAAGGAAGTTAAACGATTTAATCCAGCAAGTCCTTCTATCACATCGTTCTACTTCTATCAATATGTTTCTTGATCTGTTTGTTGGCAATTTCATGAATATTTATTAACAATTGTTGGTTCAGATTGATGCATTCCCTGGTGATATGGTAATATTTTCACGGGTTATTGGTCTTCTGAGACGTCAGTAATAAAATTTTTACACTGGTAGCAGTTAATGAGAAAACTTTTGCCTTTCTTTACTTTTCCTTTGATTTGGGTTTAGGACTTTCTACCACGTTGGATGCTCACATAGTATATCATGATACTATGAGACCATTTGCCGAATCTGTTCTGCAAGAGTAAAGTCTATCTAGAGCAATGTGCCAATTTGTATAATGTCTTCGTTTATTGTTCATCTCTATTTGAACTTGAAATTCAATTGCCAGGAAGATTGCTGAGGGGCCATCAGAAAATGCACAGTGGATCAATGACACACCAGTTGATTCTGACGTGGAGGCAAAGCCGAGGCAGATTTTAGTCGAGTTAGGGAATAATGACAAAATACTTGGAATCCAGGTCTGCATGGTTCCATTTTTTTCTGACAAAGTAGCATAAATGAGAATCTTAAGAATAACTTGTTAACAACTGTAAAACTAATCCCTTATTTATTTTATCTTGGCGGCTTTCTCAAATTATCGATGGATACCACTTAAATTTGCCTGAATTAGACGATCCAATAACCCCTTAACAGTATTGCAATGACAATTGCTTCTTCCTTCTCGTCCATTTCGAAAAAGGGAAAAAATCAAGTGTAAAATTAAAAATTTTCAAAAAATACACCATTTTTGTCCACAATTAAATGACTCTAAGTAAGTACTAATGAACATAAAACCCCATTTTTTTAATTTATAATATAATTTGGTACTGTGACATATACTTTTTAAAATATTTTTTATTTAAAAATATATTAAAATAGTTTTTTATACACATATTTTTTAAATCATATAAAATACTAAGAATATATTAATTTAATATTTATATAAATTAAATATAATTATAAAAACCACTATGATATGGACAACGACTCTATCATCCTCTTTTTCATACTAATTTTCATCTCCTATTTTCTACAATACCGGCCCCCTACAGGACCTTACTTTCTTTCCACGTCCTTTTTTTTATTTCTGTCTTTCCTTTTTAACCTTTCTCTCTCCTACTTTCTATCCTTTTCTAGGGGGTAGATAGAGTTGAACACGTGACGACCATCTATTAGCTTTTGAGGTGAACATGTGGAGATAAGGGTGAACATGTGGCGATGATCTATTGGTTTCTTGGATTACCCGGTCCTTTGTCATAAACATGGTTCTTTTAGCTTTTCTTCAATACTGGCGACTGGCCCCTACTTTCTTCCTTCTTTGTCCCATCCTTTTCTTTCTCCTTTGATCATGCCGTGATTTTAGGGGTTTTCTTTATTTTTTATTTTTTTTTATTTTTTTATTAAGGTGAGTGTTCGGGCCAGCTTACA